CAAACTAAGGAATTATTCTAAGTGTAAAAAATTACTAAAATTTTTACAAGTGTTTGAACTTCATTTATTGGGACGGAAATCCGGCATAGACTCCCCGTTCCCTCGTTTTTTCTAAAATTATTCTAAGTCTAACATGCACATATTACTCTAAGATTAAATTAAGTTAAAATAAACTAAGTCTTTTCTTCATAGATCACAATCCAATAAAATATTCTAAGTCCGAAATTTCTTTGAAATAGAGTCTAAAATTGCTTGAAACTTGTCTTGAAATTAAACAATAAAAAGAGTACTCACAGTTTGCACTTCACACTAACACACTATGCACCTCCATGTGGCGCCCTCTGTGGCTGCCCGCTGAACTGCGCGTACGTCCCCTGTGACGTCGCGTGACGGCTGCGCCACCTTGCTGTCTTCTAGTGGAGTGTTGATCTGAGTGGCGCCCTCTGGTGGCCACTCGTTGAACTAATCCGCCAAAGCTGGCTCAGCTCACCGCCAATGCTGTGTGAAGCTGTCGCCGCTAGTGCGGAGGACTCGCGTACCTTTCTGTAGCGATCCACTACAAGTACGCGGAAAAGCGGCCAACGCGGTCGCCGTTTTGAACTCAAAAATGATCCGGCTCGTATGGACCAATGTTTCCTAGCTAAGCTACTAGGTGATCTGCTGACCTACTAGCACACAAGATGGGATGAATATAAATAAAACCACCACTGTGTACTGTTCTAAGCTGGTATATATATTTGTACTTTGTACTTGTACTATGAACTTTGAACTACTTGGTCTTACAAATCAATTTTACCTTATAGTTTCATTGGTAACGAAACCATAGCTCGATTTTAATTGCGGCAACGCCATCTATCGAGCCATGAGACAACTTTTGAATAATAATATTTATTTTGACTTTAACAATAAGTTTGGTCTTGAACATTATGAATAAGATGAAGAAATTAAATTTTATTCTCTACAACTTAATTATGCTATGAAAAAATATGTGCTGATAATTGATTTCTGAATGACCATAAACATCAGTTGGGTGATTTTAATTTCAGAGAAGTGTGAATACTTATCAATAACACAGATAAAAAGCTATACTGGTACAATAATACAATAGAGAAAAAAAACATAACTTCAATCCTCAAAGGATATTTCAGCCTGGAGTCTTATTTAAAATAGGTAATCCTATTGGCAAACACAGAGGAAAATTACACAGTATTTGAATTTGAAAAATGGAAAATTCATTATTTGTCAACTTGTGTATCCATCTTCACACTACATGCTTGGCAGTTGTGCTGGTGATCCCTCGACCAGCAGATCAGTCAAATACTTTATTTTAAAGCATTTACCACAAGATTATTACAATCCCCAAAAATCTTGTCTCAAATAGGAAGTTGACATTTTATATTTTAGTTGTATTCATCATCCTCATCCATGGCAAAATCAACTCCTGAGTCAACAGCACACACAGGACTGAAAAGATAAGAAGAACCAAATTTCAATGGATTTTAATAAAGTAATTACAAGTGTAGTAGAAATATCATAAAAATCAATTGTATTGTAAAAAATATTCACTTACCTCATAGCTCTACAAGTGAAAAAGACAATCCGTTTTAATCTTCTGTTATAAAAGAAGTAGTTGAATGCCCATAGACAACCAGGCTCACCAAATGGATCACTGGCAAGGTCTGGGTTGTAGCTATATATGCGACACTCAGACAACACCACCTCCTCATCAACGGCAGTCCACAATGATGGTCTAAGTTGCCGCCAGCGCACACCACCTACGGCAGACAAGGAAGCATCTACTGCTCCTTGCACCCAACTTAATGAGGGCTCTGCACTGAATTCACTGCTCTGTAATACAACCAAATTCTGTTTATTTTTTTGTCGCCCACCCGATGGTGGTAAGTATAAATTATAATTTGACTTCAAATCAATTTACAATCCATGTGTCAATACAAGAAAATAAAGCAAATACAGTTTGGTTTAGACTTCTTTTCAAACATTACCCCAAATAAAAATGTTCTTGTTTTAAGACTTTTTTACAAATCTTATTAGGGCCTGTAATTATGGTATACAATTTAACCTCTTGAGTGCTGGTATATGAGACACAATAGAAAACATATTGTGTATTGAGTAGATCTACCACAGGTTAAACAACAAAATGTTTTTATCAAACATAAAAAGGAAACTTAAAAGAATATCTGAAGTCAAATAAAAGACATAATAGCTTTTATTTTACAAAAATCTATACAACATCATGCAAGAAATTAAGGGACCAAGTTTAGTATGCATTAAAAGTTAGAAAATTGTTGAGCTCACCTTAGCCATTGAAAAATCATAATCTGGAAAGGCAGCATTCAGTGTAGCAATTAAGTAAAACAATGTTTTACGAGATATGGTGTCACAGAGAACACCATCTTCATCACCAGACAAGCTTCGGCTGAAGATAAACAATAAATAAAATAAGGATTTACAATAACAGCTTGTCAATGTCAGTAGAATTATAAAATTCTATATTATACCTGTACATAAAACTCTCTGGTGGTGACAATGCTTCCAGAGTAGTTTCTCCAGTTGCTGTGAATCGTTTATAAAACGACTTCTCAGCACCAGCCATCTTGCAGCTATAGCTTTCCACACGGCCCTGTACGGCACTATCCCCATTCAAAATAGAGAGTGCTCTGCTCAATGCCTCTAAGCGGCCACTCTCCAAAAGTTTCATTTTCTGTACTTTTTTATTTCTCGCTAATTACCCACTCAAATTTATTGTAATAAACGGTGCTTGTATAATACTGCAGCACGGAAGACTATTTCTGTACATAGCAGAGGGGTGTATGAATATTCCTTTTCTCTTAGAGTGTAGCAGATTTACACTCGGAATCAGTTTCGTCTTCTGTTCTTCTTCCGCTCTGGTGGAATGCGGGAACATCACAAATAAGAAGAAAAAATAGATTTACCAAATCGCCGAACCGTTTGTAGCAAATTATTTATAGCTTGTTTTGCCTTAGCACAAGGAGATCGCGTCACTTCACTTGTTGTCCCACAAAAATGAATAGTAAACACCAACAAATCACAGATCAATATCCATAGAAGACATGGTCACAATTATACACAGAACTAGGATGCACAATATTTCTCGATAGTGAATCGTTTCCAAAAAGAATAAATCTCAACAGTACGATAACTAGGATATTCTTGAATAAGTACACAACAAACTTCGATTATACAATGGCGGAGGCAAGCTCGATCACGTCACGTCATATCACGCATAGACTATTACAAATACAAACACAAACTAAAAACTAACAAAATCCTATTAGAATATAACTAAAATACTAATAGTCTATTGAAACATATGAACATGAAAACAGGTTTTGTGATCCCCATAAGGATGTAGACGTAATAAACATTAGTTGTATCTTTACTATTATAAATAAGATTATTTACTGTAAGTATTGTTATTTTTAAAAGTTTTGTTTTAGTTAAAATGGAGGAGGTCCAAATATCAAATATTATTTCTAACAATATTCCGATAAGAATTTGATCTTTGCAGTCACACTTACTTCACAAACACAGACTAACTAGTACTTTTGATCATATTTAACTACAAACAAATTATTATTTATGTTAAATTACAAAACTCAAAAATAAGTGGTAGTACTGAATGACAGTAGAGACTGCACGGTTTGGACAGTGGTTGGGTGACAAGTTGCTGTGCAACGTGTAGCGGGTTCAATTCCCGCGTTGGACACAAAGTGTTATGTTTCTGAGTAAAATAGATAGAAAATAGAAAATAATAGAAAAGTACGATACAGGCAAGTATCAGTTGTTTTGACTGTCTGCCTGAATTAATTAAATAATAGATATAAAATAATCAATTCGTGTGATTCACCCCGTGCCTCGAAAAGCACGTAAAAGTTTACTCTGCGCCTGATTTCTCTCTCTGCCATCCCTTCGGGTTTAGAGAGTGAGGGAACAGAGAATGCACTGTAATATCTCCTGCGTAGTGGGCTACTTTAGTTAGACTTGCCACCATGATCGAAATCGAATAGGAGATTTATATCACATAGTGGGCAAAAGCGAATGAGAATGTAAGAGTAAGAAACTTCGGGAGAAGTAAAACTCTCATGGACGTAGCGTATGTTAGTACATGTTTATCCATGTAATAGTCCATGAAAACTCGACATACTAATTTCTAATAATATTTATTATGAACCCGAAAAATCACCCGCTCTATTTCTCTACTAATCTATAAAGAGCATAACTAAAAAGTATGGCATACTTTCTGGCTTACTTACTACGTCAATGTCAGGCCCTATACTTACTCTTTGAAGTCTTTGATGTCAGGTCAGCTGGGCATACTGTCGGCTTATTTTTGTCTATCGTTTGCCAAAGAGAGAGAAAAAAAATATTTTTGTCTATTTTTTTTTGTTTGGTCCGACGTTTGACCGCGCTATCTCGTTCTGTCAACAACATAACATCACGCCTTTTTATCCCCGAAGGGGTAGGCAGAGGTGCACATTTCGGCACTTAATGCCACTGTACAATGTAACACCCACTTTTCACTATTTATGTTATGAGTCCCATGTAATAGGTGGTGAGCCTATTGCCATATACCGGGCACAATTTTCCAGACTCCGTGCTACTACTGAGATTTTTAAAACCCAGTAATACTTTGCCCGACCCGGGAATCGAACCCGAGACCCCTTGCCCGGCAGTCGCACTTGCGACCACTCGGCCAATGAGGCAGTCTCGTTCTGTCACTGTCAGAATATTGAAGTATAACCAAAGATTTAAAAAATAAGTATAAAATTTTGACTTACTTTTACATCAAATCCATGTAATGCAGAGTACACTAAAATAATATTATCATCGTAAGAATCCGAGTGTTCTGTATGGTGCTTTTTTGCTACGTATTGATTTGATGTGATGTGATGTATGTATGGTACTCGGGCTCAGTAGATTCAAAGTAGGTACTCTAACTATAGAGTGAGAATTTAATAATGTTACCCTTACCTGCTGCTTTCGCCGGTTTGTTGAGAAGCAATTGCCCTAGGTTTTTGAGATATCAAAATTATGGTAAGCATTTAATTTTTCTTGTAAGTTGTAGATCACTCTGACATGACTTGAGAGAAACTATTTTTGACACAATTCTATTTAGTTTGTGAAATATGTTAATAATTACAGCAACACGAAAGAGATTTTATAGGGGTACTGGAGTAATTCAAAGCGAAAAGAAATGGGAAGTTACTTTAGACCACCGGAGACTGAAAACTCCTAATGGCCAAGTCTTGATGGTAAATAGTGAACCTCTAGCTCGAGCTATTGCAGCAGAATGGGATGCCCAAACTGAAGTAATCACACAACCAACCATGCACCTGGTTCGTACACAATCAAGTTAAAATTCTGGTCTAGCTATAAGTCCATAATAGGGATGATGATGGGGTATGAAAATTAAAAATCTAATTTGTCCGTAAGTTAGGTAATGAAAAAATATTAGACACATTTTTTATTTTGTCATATAATAAAATAATACTTAGATAAAATGAATCAAAGTTTAGGACTGGGGCTAAAACGTCATTTCTTCATATAAAATGTACATAGAAATGATGTCATGCGACATTTCCAATCAGTATTTGTTTCTGTAAGACCATTAAAAATATGGTGTCTAATGTTTCAAAATCATCTACCAGACAGACATTAAAATAAAAATTAGGTGTTCACCCTATTTTAACTATTTATTAAATTGGAGATTAAATGAGGTAAAGTTCGGACAGTATCAGGGACACCTGTATGTAATGTTAAAATAATCTCATACTTTAAAAAGTAAAAAAATGTATTGGTAATAATTTAAATGATTATAATGCAGTTTCTCATTAAATATTGTTTTTTTAGACTTCACTATGCAACACTGCACTAGACAATCCTGGAAAGTTAACACCACATGACATAGCAATTTACTTTCTAGAATACTTTTCTACAGACACTCTTCTGTTTTATTCTGATGTAAGTAATAATTTATGAATTTTATCAAATTATTAATTTTTTTATAAAATTATCTGATAAAGTCCATGATCCCGGGGACCCAAGAACTTACTTATTGTCTGAGGCCTCCGACTATAAGTACACCTAGTACCTGAGAATTGGCCATCAGTGTAAACTGATTGGGCTAGTAGGTATGTATACAGTATAATTATATTCACTGAACACACTAATACTAAAATAACTAAAATTAACTTAATTTAGTTATTATAAAAACACTAATACCCTGGGGTCCCTGGGATTTTGCTCTAAAAGTGTTAAGTACCCTCTCAACATCATTGTTATAACTTTTGCAGTTAATTTGCATAGTTACATTTTTATCTACAATTTCTTCAGATATCCTGCTTAATTTGTAAGTCATTTATTATAACTGTTTTAGGAAGAAGAAGAGTTACGAAAATTACAAGAAATAAAATGGGGACCTATAATAGATTGGTTCCAAAAAAGATTTGATGTGGTCCAAGAGGTATCTAAAGGTCTTGAACCACCACCTGTAACAGCCAACACTAGAGCAGTTTTAGCTAAATACTTCTTGTCATATGACTTTCCTGCACTTACTGGTATGTAATACTCTAATAGATTTTGCAATTTTATGACGGAAATACATACATATCGATATAAACAAGATAACACAAATACTCATAGCTATGTTTACCAATCAACAACAGCGATTACCAGAATAATTTATGTGACTAGACAATATGAGGGTGGGTTTAAAGCGAACTTATCAGTTTGTTTCAAATGTACCCTCATATTTAAATAACGGCGCTAAGATTAAAAATATAGAAGGTTATAAGATAAGCGCCACTAATATTCCTATGCATAAGTGTTTTGACATTGGAAGTGCACTTCTGTCTGTTACCGTACATTTGATGATTTGTTTTATTGTTAATCGTTAGTAATAAAACTCCTAACAAAATGTAAAATTAACTTTTTTCGTAATTAATTTAGGAAAAATGGGACTAATAATAAATTTGTCCATTTTAGCCCTTAATTAACAAGAAAAATCAGAAATATACTTACTTACTTCTTATAATACTTCCAAATAGTAGTAAATACAAAATTTCCAATTCCCAAAAGACCGGTAACGCACTTGCGTCCATGGGCGGCGCCGATTGCTTACCACCAGGTGATCTGCTCATTTAGCGGCTTATCTCATAAAAAAAAACAAAAATAGCTGTGCAAAGTATTATTACCCTCCGGCTTCGATACCCCCAAGAAACAATTTTTAGAGTAGTGTGGGCAACAGGTTTTTAGATACATACCTACCTAAAAATATATCACCACCAATTTATTTCGCGCGGGTTAATTTGGGCGACAGTTTAGTACGTATTTACCTACCTACCTGCATATATTTGTAGGTGTATTTTGTGTTTTTTACCTGTATCCCGAGTTACGTACAGGGGGTCGCCGCAATATAGCTTTCACTGGGATTTTTCGTTATTGATGACATAGGTATCCTATACTTTTATCATTACTCACACAATGCGTCCGTATTTCTTTAATCAAAATCTTCTTTTCTTTCCCACCCAGTCACTCACCAACCAAACCACATTTAACACTTCCTAATTTGTAATTTGTACTTTGTAACATAATGACCATAATGTAGTAATTTGTTTTTCTTAAACAGCAATGTCATTTGGTGTGGAAGCTTTGAAATCACCTTTGCTGATGCTGGCTTGTGTAGAGCGACGCCTCGATCCAAAGGAAGCAGTCCTTTTGGCTCGCCTAGAAGAAGAATATCAGGTTTGTTTTGTTTATTTATTGCAACTTGAAAGTACCTATAATGTCTTATTTTAAGTTATTCATCTTATCGCGCTTTTGAATTTAACCCTATGTATTTATGTATGTAGGTGCTGGTATGTGTCTGAAGTGGAATCTTGCAACTTTGAAGCAGAGATATTCAACCAATTGAGCTTGAGATTTTAATGACCATAAATGTTGAGCAGCATAAAAGCTTATTATAAAGATTTTAATTAAAAAAAAATCGAATAAACATCACACAAATGTCACCAACAGGCGTGGGTAAACGCTACTTGTCCACCTGTTCGTTTGTACTTAGGAGCATGGATCGTGAATTGATAAATTGGGTTAATTTTTTAATACTCAGTAAAAATATTATTTCCACTTTTCAATACTTACACTAAAATATCCAAATAATAATAATAGAGTGATCTCTGTCATGAATATTATTTTTATGTATTTTCCTAGCTATTTTTAAGAAATAAGTTAGCCATTTAACGCAAAAACATTTTATAAAAAAAAAATACTATTTTATAAAAGTATTGTCGACAAAGAAACGAAGCATTTATTATTTGTATATCACATTACAAAGAATTTCAACACAATTAACATTCTTTCTGAACTCGTGTGCATGCATACTACGCATGCACACGAGTTCAGAAAGTACATGGTCGGGTAGGTTATACAAAATTCCTATTGTATTATAGGTACGTAACATAGTTTTTTAATTTTGTTGTAGTTAATGAGGTGGGGGCGCGTCCCGTGGGCTCACGAGTTAAATCAAGCGGAGCTGACTGCGCGTGTGGCCGCTTCTTTGTTAGTCATCCACAGCTCTGTGGAACACCACTCGGCAAAAGCGAAGGCAACGCCTGAACGAATGAGTCAATAAAATTAAATACCGTAGACTAGATTGTCGGGTATCTGTTTTATTTTAGATCAATAAATATAACTTAGTTCATTATTTTATAACATCTGTTTCCAGATTCATTATTCACTATGTGACATAGCTTTGTAACTCCTTTTTAGACGACTTCAAAAAAAGAAGGTTGATCTCAGTGTGACCTGTATGTATCTGTATGTAAGTTTGTGCGCGATTATCTCTCGATTGGCTGAACCGATTTTATGCGGTTTTCAGAAAAGTGTTTGTACTAACATTTAGGAGGTTTTACTATATTAATTAATCGACATCCAAAAAATAGTAGGATGTACTTAGTCGGTTTTTTCAACTTAGTTTATAAACGGAGGTATAATATTTACAATTGAAGCTATTTCTTTAATTTATTAATATGTAAAACTGTTATTGGCGCTTACCTAATGACAGATTACTAGCTACAACCATAACATACTTTGTCTATAAAAATCCAGAAGTTGTGTATGAATATAAACTGAGTGCTGCGTGGGATTTTAGTATATAGTATTTGTATATGTGGATAAGAGTGCGTACCTTAATATAGGTAGGTATAGATACCTACCGAAGAAGCTACATAGTATATAATTTATTGCGGGTCATGACCTAAATCACCTATTAATGAATGATATAACGCGCCTAATTGTCTGTAGAGATGTTAAAATAATGGCAGGAAGTTTGAATTTAAAGAAGTGGTGAGGTCGGAGCACCTTCAGTGTAAGAATGAAATGAAAATAGCAAAAGCGAAGTCGCGAAGTTCCTCTAAATATAGCTGGGCGGGCGGAGTGCGGCGCAGTCGCAACTAATCGCCAGTGCCCGAGCGCGACCTCGCTTTGTTCACAATCCAGAAGTGAGCGCGCTCACTGTTTATCCGCGTACTCTATATAAATCAACGATCGATTTACTTACTGCAATATAATTATATCTTCATTTGTCTCATAGGTAATCCAGACGCCTATGAGATATTTTGATAAAAATGGGATCAAGTGATTAATTTTACAGTTTTACGGTAAAATGCTGAAATGAGGTTAATACGTTCTAGTTTCTAGATTCGAAGCTTGTTACCCCGATTTGAATCACCACGACGACGTAAGTACTCTGCTCCTGTATCCAATTAGTGTTGACGCATAGTTAACCTATCTCATCGAGTGACCGAGCAGTGTCCCCGCTTAGATAGATCAGTTTGTTAGTGTGCCTATAGAGTGCCAAAATATAAAAATGATAAATGTGGAATAATTATAAACATATAAGTTTGTGGTAAGTACACTATAAATTATAGCCATTGTCACCTTACTTACTTTATAAATTTACCAAATCTTGAGTAAAAAATAGAAGTAGGTACCTAAGTACTGCAGCAAGATGCATTCCATATTAATATGTAGTTATTTATGATTTATTAGATGTCGTTTAGTTTACGCTTTCCCTGTTGTTTAAGTGGGTATGTAAACAATATAGGTATGCATACAAAGATTTATTATCTTTAAATAAAAGTACCTACGTATCTCTAATTTAAATCAATCTTATGAAGTTAGCATTACTTAATTCTATAGCACTGTTTAAATAGAATGCCATTTTACGACTGCTCTAGTTTTCATTAGAATTTATTCCAATTTTCATTAAATTTCAGGGGTGATGAACAACGACGTGGAGGTAGAGGCTCGCCCTCGTCCTTTATCTACGGGCTTATGGACGCTATTCTCCTGGCTGCGTCGTGACGATCGATCTGCTTCCAGCGAGAGCCTCTCAAGCGCCGGTTCTGACAGAACAGTGGCAAGCTTTGCGTTCCTGACACCAGCTCGCTATCATCCAGCGAAAGGACCCCTCGTAGTACCACCACCCGGACCTCCAACAGACTCGTACAAAAAAAGAGTGCATGATAGAAATATCCGACGTCATCACGATCGTGATATAACATTACACCGTAAATACGGGCTATTTAAGAGTGAGGGAAGTTGCGGTTACGACGCTTTTAGCTTACCACCAGCACGTAGAACGAACGCCGAGTCTGGTACTAGATGGGACCGCGAGAGAAGAGCTACAAGTGAATGCTATCAACGTCGGCTAGCGCACGTTCCCGGCAAGAGACGGGCACCCCTACCTCCTGCAACATCTGCTGGCCCTTCAGCATCTTTGCCACGCCGCCACAGTAGAAAACGACCTGCCCCGCAACCACCTATAAGAGTGTTAGAAAAGAACAAGGACATTTTCAAAGAAGTTCACGTAAACATTGATACAGTTCAAATGCATTCTAACACATATCAAGATAAAACCAAAACAAAGAATAGTGATGTTTTGATGGGGTGCAAATCTGAAAAATATATTAAAAAAGATGCAAGTAGTAAAGATTCAAAAGTTAAACCCGAAAAAAGTTTCTTGAAGCAAATTTTTGACGGTAAAAAGAGAAATTCATATATAGATACATCAGCTGTAAAATTACTTCCGAGTATCAGTGAATTAGATAAACAGGCAGCTGAGTTAATTGAAACATGTAAATTAAAAGCCAATGAACAAAATAATAACTCTACTTTTGGCGAGTTCAATGCACATAGCTCTAAACAAAGTGATGCATGGATCTGTACTCGTTGTTTCAGAAGATATAACTCTTCAATAGTTACTTGTACTTATTGCGTCTCCAAACAAAAATCTCAACCTTCTGAAGTTTGTGGAGATAACAAAACAACACTAGCCAAGGCTTCAAGCAGTTATACACAAACAGGAAATGACTTATCACCAAATAGAAAATATGATGCGGAAGATAAACAAAAACTTAAAGAAATGTTAAAAGAAATGAAAGACTCGCTTCCTAAACGACCAAAACATGACTTTAACAGTAAAACAGAAAACCAAACTTCTGCGGAGCCAAAAAGCTTTGGGATGAAGTCCTTTTCAACAGAAACTCCTACTCTCCGAGTCGGGTCAACATTTCACGATGAAATGAAATCAGTCGCTGAACCATCCACGTCAAGTCGAGTCGTCGAAATAAAACCTACACTAGAATCAAAAAGCCCATCAAACAACCCAGTTTCAGCACAAACTGCATTAGTAGCACAAGTTATATCTGCGTATAAGAAAAATGTTGACGATAATTTGAATTTGGCTGCTAAACTGGCTACAAAAAATGACAATTTAGAACAAGTTAAGGTATTTGATTTTAACGTAAAACAACCTGAAAGATTACCACAAAATCAAGCCTCCGAGAAGAATAATTTGAATACACCACTGAAAATATCATCACTATTAAACCCTATGTATGTTCCCAAGGATTCTCTTCTTACCAAACCAGATTTAGCTAGCAAAGAAGAAAAACAGTTAAAAAACGGAAATGTGGTTGCTGATATAGTTAAAGACACATTTAAATGTTCTCTAAGCACAGGTATTAAAACGACGTCTACCAACGTATCAGTTGGCCCTTCCACGTCTCGAGTTACTGCCATGCCTGCAGATATCAGTATCGAAAATAAGCACAAAGAAAAATGTAAAAAGGTGTCTATTCCATTTTTAAAATCCGCAGTTCCAAATACGTCAACAGATACTACTAAAATTCCAGAGTCAATTAAAACCGAAGAAAATAAAAATATACCCAAGTTGTCAGTGCTCCCAAAAGATCTAAATGCAGTGAAAAGTATGGAAGCACTAGATCAGCATTCTAGACGTAGAGATTTAATTAATCAATTGGAGAAATCTATTGCACAAGGAGACGAGCGGGCAGCAGCAGAAGCAGCTGCCAAGCTGGCACAATTACGTTTGTCGTGTTCAGTGCTATCATTTTCATCACAAATATTATCTCGACCTTCTACGTCGTCAAACGGTAATGAATTAAAGGAAAGTACAGGAGAATTAAAAACAACAATAGTGACTAAGCCATCTACTTCAACCAACAAAGATTGTGATAAAAATGACAAAAAGGAGTCACGAGGTCTCAAGTCGAACAATGTTAAAGAAAGATCTCCCCCAAAAGTTTCAGTTGGCAACATATCCGCTGCTAATAAAACAGATAAGTTGACATCGCCGGTATCTCAGACAGAAACCACGAAAGCTTTACTTGTACCTCAAAAGAAAAAAGATGGAGAAGTGGCACAAAAGAAGGAAAAAGATATAAGAAAAATTCCTGTTCCAATTACGAATGAAGATAAAATAACGTAAGTCAATAGACATTACCTAAACAGACACTTATAAGGGAAGGGGTCGGGGCATAACGGGGTCATGGTATACAACGGGGCAATAACAAATACAAGTAAACATGCTCACTAGGCGTTTCTCCCTTTAGCTAATAAGCGACCATTTTGCATTTATCTTGAATCTGACAGTGACCGGCGGCCAAACTTCATGCATTTACTTTTTTACATTAAATTATTAATTTTGGCGTAATTTTATCGAATTTTGAATGCTTACGAAAACGGTTTTCAGCAAAATAGCAACATAAAGAAAACCAGCTCAATTGTTCGGCCTATTTGTGGAGACAGCGGGCTAACACGGCTTTTGCTAATGTTAATGAAGAAATTCACATTGGCTATTCTGTAACGTGAAATAATGCATCTCATACTGTACTCCGTACTACAGCCCCTAGCCGTACATAAATAATCAGGATATTTTTATATCTTTGCTTTGATTCTAAAATCAATCTAGATTTAGAAATAGTACTATTCATTATTATACTAATGAATATGCCAAGTAGGTGCCTTTGAAGCACACTATCTAGGTGACTAGCAAAGCTATTATTAAGAAGTTAATCATTATTATGAATCAAGCTTTCTGGTTTCAAAACTAAACACTATTTTATTTTAGAATAGCAGTATTGGTGGAAGATCGAGAGGCAACGAGAGGTCCTGTGCATCTCCGAGTAAGTCGACGAGCATGCATACGAGACCTTCGCCACGAAGCCGAGAGATTACTTGGCCTAGCACCAAATCTACAGCGTTGGATTATTGGTCGTGCTCTGTGTGTTAATGATAGCACACCTATAACATCGCTCGCTGGAACTGATTTCAGCGCACCATTTTATTTGTGTGTAGTAGAATCAGGTACGTCCATGAGTTAAACTTAGTTTTTGTTTCCTTAATGTTTGATCTATTCCGGTACCTATCCGATCTGGTTTTATAAAACTGATATAATTTTATACTGATCAGCATAAATAAATATAGGTACCAGTGTTTGGTGAGGGTAGTATGTGAATTAGGAAAAAGAAACGAAATTCGGTGTTATTTTGGAATTTGGTTAGATCACATGACTGGCTGATATCTTAATTAAAGGCATACTACCTATGTATGTAGGTACCTAGGTCTCGAAATGCATTATATTTATCTTAATAGGTATGTGCCTAGAGGCATCGTGATCGCGCAACCGTTGTGTCAAAAAAGGGAAACTAGAACAATCACTAAACTTTGGTCGCTGACAAAGTTAATAGGTACTTCTTTATATTTCGGTGACGCCAGCAAAGGATCTGTCTTCAACAGTTTTCTATTTTATTTTACCTAAGTACCTATAACAATAGTATTCAAAGACTTGTTACCTAATTGTAAATAATATATTTATAAGTAAATACGTAATTTACTTAAGTTTGAGTGCCGTTCGATCATGGTGTTAGTGAAAAGTAGTTCGCTAATTGTGTAATTAACGAGCGTAATTGAATTAACTTAAATTTGTCTGCTTTGGTTTTACAGAAACTAAATTGGAAACAAACTCCCAACAAAACAGCAGCATCACTACGGCTAAAACAAATGACCAGCCAACAAAATCAGGAGATGTTTATACAGAACTAATGCAATTAGAACAACAAGCAGTAGTTCCTAACGCAGAAAACTTCGATTGTGGGATTTGTATGGAAGAGTATCCTCCTGGTCAAGGAGTAGTGCTACGTGATTGCGTACATATTTTTTGTAAAGATTGTTTGTCTGATGTAGTGCGTCATTGCGAAGAACCAGACGTTCCTTGTCCGGCTATGGGTTGTCGAGGAATGTTACAAGAACGAGAAATCCGTGCTCTTGTGTCTACTGAGGACTACGAGCGCTGGTTGGCACGGGGTTTGGCTGCTGCAGAAAGCGGAACTCGTAACGCATTTCACTGTCGAACTCGAGATTGTAAAGGTTGGGCATTGTGCGAACCGGGAGTTCAACGCTTTCCATGCCCGGTGTGCAAATGCATAAACTGTGTGCCATGTCAGGTATCGTATCTACCCGTCTTTATAATTAGCCACGTTTACTTGAAGTAAGTATGGACTTTATGCGTCATGCTAATGACTTTTTATTTCCTTCTCATTTAAGGCTATCCATCCAGGCGATACCTGTGAGCAGCATCGCGCTAAACTTCAGCAACCAACAAGTGAGAAATCGAATGGAAATGCAGTTGATGATGGAACGCGAACACTACTCAATTCTCTTATCAGCAAAGGGGAAGCTCTTGAGTGCCCTGAATGCAGTGCCATTATTACAAAAAAATGGGGCTGTGATTGGGTGAAATGCTCAGCGTGTAAAACAGAAATATGTTGGGTGACTCGAGGCCGGCGCTGGGGACCGGGAGGTAAAGGAGATACCACTGGTGGTTGCCGTTGCGGCGTAGACGGCAAAAGATGCCATCCATCCTGTGGCTATTGTCACTAAATCTGTAGGTACTGAAATTTGGTTAGTAATACAATTCTGGGGTCTTAACCTTACTTTATAAATAATAAATTGATGTTCAATATAGGCATATATGAACGGATTTTATTGTCTCTAACGCACAAATTACTCAATGGGTTTCTGAATCTGAATGTTGGCCACCTGGAATAATTTATTGTTTACCTTTTTATCCCTGTAACGTGGACGAATTTGCTGGGCTTGAAGAAATAAGTGCAAATAGTAATTAATTCTGTTATTCCTTGCACTCACTTATAAAAAACGTTTATGCCATTGTTAGGTAGCCCCATGATGCTGGATGGTGACATAAACTATTCATTATTACAGTAGGTACCATGTTCTTTGTTGTTTTAGCTAATTATGTGCATTTGCAAAGTTTATATGTACCTACTTAGTTATTAGTTTTTATTTACTTTGTTTTTAATAAATCAATCATTACTATTCATTACCTATAACTACATTACCCACTATGTAATTTGAAGAATGTAAAACTGAATTCACGATATTGAGGTATAGGTACTGCTATCACCTGGTCTCAGTTTTGTATCCTTATGATTAGGCTATGTAAGTAAACAATCTGTATAACACATAAAATAAATTCAGTTGTCAAAATGATGTTTTTTCTTATTACTGATGTATGACGTATAGATACTGATACATATAGATACTTTTTGTTTTTTTTAAATGAAGCAAATAATTTAACTTTTTGTTTTTTATAAGTTAAGAAGTTAAGAATCATGTACTCTTTGGTTTCTATGTACACCAATTATTATTGGACAAAGCTGCTAGTTTTTATATTGTGTTTACTGGAACTCCCATTTTAGAAAGTTTTCAGTGCAGTCTCCTAATAAAAACATGTAGGTACATATGAAGAACGATAGCTGGATATTATACTTATTCTGATGGTATGGCATTGAGGATCTAATATTCCTTTTACATTTAGGTACATAGTGTAGGTTTCAGTAATTCTGTAAATAATATTGTGTACAAATAATATCAGCTTGAATTGCTTTTACCTAGGATTTAAATTCAGCTTAGCAAGTAATAAAATTAAAACATATTGATTAATTGAATAGTATAAATAAATTTGAATTAGATCCAGCTGATATCTTTATATATATAATTCTTCTGAGTGTGTATGTCACTGAATTTCTCTCAAACGACTGGACCGATTTTGATGAAATTTTTTTGTGTGTTCAAGGGGATCTGGGAACGGTTTAGATTCACAAATCAGCCCGGCAGATGGCGCTGCAGTCGATGTTTAGGTTATTTATCTTAAACAGCTGAACTAATTTGAATGAATTTTTGTTTATAGATTCAAGTGGATATGCAGGACGACGTCTGTTGGGTCCGCTAGTTTATAATAAATTATCAAATAGTATTGCCTGTCTGTTCAGACAAGCCAAAGTGTATTGGGTTCACTTGAAAAACACATGTTCTTCCGTACATCAGTAAACATTACCGGAATGGCTACATTAATATTGGTTTAAGATGTTGATGAAACACAAGTATAATTCAATTTAGTGATGAAACATCACACTTTATTGAGTGGTAGGTATTTAAGAACTGCAGTACAGACTATAATACTACATTGAGATAGCAGGTTACAACTTTAATGACATTCCCTGCATATTCTCATACATTTTTGGTTTTGTTGAAAAGTAACACAAATCCATTTTGTGTTATGTACTCTGATCACACTGTTGTCAAAAATAAAAATTGACTCATCACCAACACAAGAATTGTAAACATCATAGTATTAATTTAAGAGTATAGAAGAGAGGACAATCATTATTATCAACTACTTGGAATATGTGATAGAAATACTTTTGGATAAATCACTGTATTCAATTTTAAATTTTTAACATGTAATTATCACTAAATAGTAACACACATTGGTCAGTTTCCTTTTAAAGAGATTAATTCACTTATTGCAGTATCACACATTAAAGCAATCTTAATAACGTCGCATGCCAGGAGGACCTCGGCCGCCCGGTCCGCCACGGCCCATTCCAGGAGGAGCGCCCATCATGCCTGGTGGAGGTCCACCCATCATGGGACCTCCTCGCATTTGAGGAGGTGCTGATAATTGTCCCCGAGACCCTGGAGCCATATGTTGTTGTGATGGGCCACCAACACCTCTAGCAGGGCCTTGTAAGCCTGGTGGAGCACCAGCTGGGCCAGCTCCACGGCCTGCTGCACGGCCACCTCCAGGACCTCCAATTGCACCCGGTATTGGTACCCGAGGTAATCCTTCTTCCGGTGGAGGTGGGCCTTCAATAGTCAAGGAAACTATATTTTCTCCGCGAAGTAAAACAAACCCTAAGGTTCTTTTTTCTTCTCTATCAGCGGTTTTGCTATTTTTGGATTTAATTTTTCTGAATTCTTCACAGTCTCCCAAAATAAGATTCATGTGTTTATCAAATGCCTTAAAAGTCCCAATGAATGTCCGTGAATCTTGTAATATAACCCTTACTCTATAATTGATGTGCTGTTGCATTTTATTATTCTTCCCGATCGTCTGAAATAACGAATAATTGCCATTAGGATAATCATTTCTATGTTTGGATGCTTACAAATATTATTAACCCGCCGATTTTACCGGCATAAAACAAACTCTTTTTTGTTGTTTTATTCGTAAAATAATAACGAATTATAGTCTACAATAAATAAAACTTTGAAAACCAAAGATTACTTACCATCTTGAACGATTGATTTTACAATAATTCTTTGATTATTAGGAGTTAAAATAATTCTTAAGATTCAATGGCTACACAGCTATATTGACAACCATAGATAATTGTAAAATTCAGAAATGACAGCCGACAGGCTTGTTTGACTTTGCAGCCATTTTGATTTTGTAAACAAACTAACAAGTCAAAGACAACAAGAAAACTCTGTTGTGTGTGTTTATGGATTTTATATTCTGTATTTCTTTGTATGAGATGTATCTTAATACTCTTTGTATGAGATACGTAAGAAAGTTACCGCATCAATCATGTATATTATACCTGGATTATAGGTATTAGGATTATATATATAAATTATTTTTGCTATACTTCGGCTCGACTGGAGTGACACCACAGCTTCATAGAAAAGCGACGTAAAACCACACTTGAGTTATAAATTGTCGCGTGAGTCAGGTTATCGGTGACCCAGTTACCCCATGCCCAATCTCCACAATCCCCGAATACGCAACAATCTTCAAATTCATAATCGCTAAGAGGCCGGCAACTCGCGTGTATTGTAACACCTCTAGTGTTTCGGGTGTCCATGGGCGGCGCCGATTGCTTACCATCAAGTAATCCTGATCCATTGACTTGTTTATTAGCTTATTCCACAAAAAAATTGATAAACCTAAAAACATCTGTGCAATTAAAAAAAAACTAAAAAAAATAAGGTTTTCATTATGCCCTAAGCCGCAATCATTGTAAGTCTACGACCTCAACAACATATCGACAAGAATATCGTATCGATATGTCAAAACAGTAAATGGATGTCACATGTCATGTGAATGATTGAAACACATTGAAACACAAAAATGCAATGTCAGTGGTAGATTTGTTGTGTGCGTATACTTGCATATCTATCACTTGACATGGCCTGTTATTATTACACTACATATTATTTTTTAATAAATTTTTTATTCATGACCATAGATACAAGTCTTCATTACACTTCATACATTACGGTGTTGCAAGTTAATTAACATTTTCATTTACCCATACCTAAAATTTACATTATTATTTTATGTTTGGTAGACTTTCCGCTGCAAATAATTCGTGAAATAATTATTTGATACAAATAAAAACTAAAAAAGAAAAATGACATTTTTCTACCTCCTATAATCATAGTAAAAAGGAGCACATTAAAAATAAAACTCAATAGAACCTCAACAAAAATATTAGGCAGTAATATCCTTACGTCTGTTAACGTGGTAACCCATTAAAGACGCACACATAAATAAACCACTGAAATTTTGGGTCCTCAATCTGAATCTTATACTAATATGTAAAGCCGAAGAATTTGTTTATTTGTTAGAACGCAGTAATCTTAGAAACTAATTGTTCGATTTGAACAATTATGTTGTTTTTGGTAGTCTATTTGCCTGTAGAATTAGCAACCGCTTTTTGTCGTTACCCATGTCGTGATTACAACTTAATAACCGAGACGTGGAATGTCGTGGGACAGTGGCGCCCTATCCTCACGCTTCGCCACGCTAATGTATTTCTGCCTTAAGAGTTATGTCATCCATCCACACAAAAACCTTTATTATTATTTATTTACTGTTTATTCATGTCATGCAACTCCCTTCTGCAGCAGAGCGTAAGCTAGAGGAAGACGCTATCCCTCTAGCGCTCCGACGACGAGGAGTCGGTAGGAGAAGAGGGCAATACAACCGCCTTCTCCCTCTCTGGGTGAGTAGCTCATCTGTCTCGGAACCGTCCCGAAAGCCCTCCCTGAGCCAATGAGGGGCGTGATATGATCCGCCATCTCTAGCAGGCTTAGCCCAGGGTGTCCAACCGGTCTGCCAGACCCCCATCACATGGTGACGCCTGTGTGCGCCTGGGTTTTTAGTGGGTATGTTTCTCGGGCCGAGCTTCTCTCAGAGAGTCCCACATATCCTTCTGGTCCCCCGACGGGACGACGATACATCATAAAGTATTTTCCTAAGGCCAAAAAAGGTCATGCAACTCAAGACACTAGGAAATGTTATTTACTTATATTTTCGTAAATAGGAATATGAATAAGTTAATCATTGTAGTTATTGTAGATGCGTCGAAGTCACGTCTCTATTTCCTCGTTTTTTATCTGTTAGACCGGCAAACGAGCAGACAACTCGCTAAACCAGAGAAGCTATAAGTGAGTTGCCGGCCTTTTAAAGGCTAGCGATTTGAAGATTGGGGATTTGGGGATGGAACTACGAGATATGAATCCTTACGTCCTTACTAATATTATAAATCTGAAAATGAGTTTGTTTGTTTGTTCCACCTTCACGCCGTAACTACTCAACCGATTGCTTTGAATTTTTGCAGACGTAAAGTTAGAAGTCCGGATTAAATAATAGGGTACTTTTCATCCCGAAAAAATTTGATATTCCCGAGGGAAAACTAAAGTATTGGTATAGATGGCGCTGTATGTATTGGTATATGTCACATAGGCTACTTTTTATCCTTTTGTGACACGAGCGAAGCCGCGGGTAAAAGCTAGTATGAATATAAATTGGGTCTTAGGTAACCTCACTCACGCGGCAAATACAACGCGAACGTAGGTCCATGCCGGTCTGTGAGGTACCTGTGTGTATAGCGAAAAGCGATAACTTAGGTAAATAACATTTTTAATGAACGACGTTTCCATGAAAATATTTTATATCTAATTACAATTTATATAAGTGGCAACTGATGAGATGACCAAAGGTCTCTTCTCGCACGGAGAAGTTTTAAACCTTAATCACCACGTGTGCTGCTCAATACGGGTTGGTACCACCTTGATAAATAGACCAGACTACTAATTTTAACTAAACTTCCTTTTACCTTTCCACTGTAAATATCGATAGTAAATAGCTTAGTTATGCGCGATTAGCGTGCTTCACAACTACACGAGCTGCAAATTAAAATTGTTTTTATTAAGTAAGGAATCTATTTTATAAGTTAGGTACTAATCAATCTGCACGGGACCATGAGACTAATGCCAGAAAGAATATTATAATATAATAATATAGCCTAGCCATAATATATAGCCTTCAATATACTCCTCTGCTGGCGGCATCATTCGTATACAGATATACCTACTTACATATTTTTAGACACTGTCGTATAGATTCTGCTCATTCCTTCAGAGGAAATTGTGGAAAATGGATCTTTAGTGGTATCATTAGGAAAGTAAAACATGTACAAAGAGATTACACTGTTAAATCTAGACAGGTACGAGTGTAACTCACTACGTGATCTAGCTCGTTCAAATAATAAGAAGTTCCATTTCGCGTCTGTCTACATAATTCCCACAAATAACAAATTATAATTTTTCATGTTTCAGCACGAAGGGGCCGCCTCGACTGGAGTGATACCCGTGGTATCCTCACAGAAAACCGATGTGGAACAACTCTTACTTTGTGTTTCATCGTGTGAGTGAGGTTACTGGAGGCCCAATACCTCCCCTCCCCAATCTCCTTAATCCCGAAAACCCCAACAATCCTCAAATTCTAATCCCCGAAAAGCCGGTAACGCGCTTGTAACGCCTCTTGTTTCGGGTGTCCGTGGTCGGCGCCGATTGCTTGTCATCAGGTGACCCGTCTGCTCATTTACTGGCTTTTTTCATAAAAAAAACAAATACTACTGGACAGATTTTTACAAATATAGTATGCAAGAGGAACATTTCAATGTAGGTCCTTACCTAAACTTATGGTTTAACCATAAAGTTAGTACTTATGGTATGAAAGAATTTAATAAAACGACTACATGTAAATACAATATTGTACTTTATTGTAACTTAATAGTTATCATAAACATACCTATTAGATTAAATATAAAACTTATATTACTAACAATAACGGCACAAATGCACTTACTTATTAAGTAGCTTTTAGTCTTTTCCTCAACTCTTAAATATTAAAACTTCTCATTTTATTAAATACAGATGTTCGCGTTCAGAATACACAACTGTCTAGTCTACACCTACATACATAGTTACCATTGCAATTACCTATACAAGTCTACTCACACCTAACGCTACCACTACAATCTCATTCATTAACAACTTACAGCAAGTGAATTGAAAAAGCCAGGGAAAATTACGCTAGGAAATACTACATTCGGGATGTTATACGAACATTCTTGATTACAATATTATATGATTATACTACATTGCCTATTATGAGTCGGATGCGGCAGCTGGAGCGAACTGTATTACTGAAGTGTGCCGCACAGCGGGTATTTCAGTCTCTGTTTGAGGAATTAATTTTCTTTTCCGTGGTGGCAACGAGGATGGTGCGAAAGTATATTGCACTGAAGTAGTCAGTGCTGGTGAAAGAGGAACAGGAGATGGAGATGCGGACGGTGATGGAATTGATGGCGTCGTGACACTGGAAGCAGAAGGAGCTGTGGGACACTGAGGAGAAGGTGGAGAACTGGGTGGAGTTGGTGGTAGTTGCTGTAAAGCTGCTTCTACCAAGTCGCACACTACATTACCGTTCACTACTAGGGAACCGGTGGCCGGCATTTGTTGCGTACGCGGTGTATCTGCGCCATGTTCTTTATAAATATGGGCCTCCATTTGTTTTTTTGTGTTGAACGTACCATCGCACACTGTGCAACGGTAACAACGCTCTCCGTAATGTTGAAACCGATGTAATTTTAACACATGGTTGTAACCGAAATCACGAAGGCAAATATCACAAGTGTAAGGACGTTCACCGGTGTGGGTACGCGAATGCACTTTCAATTGTTTCGAACAGGTAAACCCTTTGCCGCAGCCGGGCGCCGGGCACCGGTATGGCTTTTCTCCAGTGTGGGTCCGTAGATGG